AGAAATAGGCAGGTGGCTGTTCGATGAAAGTTGTTATACTCGCTAAACTACTTCACACTCGCTTAGAACTATTAGAGAATGAATTCTTAAACGTGTAGTATATTCTCTTAATCATTCTTGAGTAGTTCATTTTACTGGAAGCGTAACGGTTTAACACGCAAGTAATTTACTGGCTTCTTAAGTGTCATAGCAAAGCCATTCTAGTGCCCTGAGCACACCAATGACGAGGGTCAACGGCGAACGCCAGAGTAAATCGCAATCTAATTGAAGGGACATTTATGTATTTAATTGTGCATGTGAATAGAAATAGATTACAATAATTTTGTGCTTGTATGTGTTAGCATATTTTCGGTTTCGAGATATGGCAAGGGCCATATATGCTTTAAATATGTTCTGTACTTGTGATCCTTTACACAGAGACACAATTAATACGTTATATTTTTGAAGAACTAGTTCAACATTCACTTAGATAACGGTAGTGTTATCTTCATTGAACAATACTAAAATAAGATTTCAACATAATTATGGACATGCTGGTCTGTAAGAGGACTCTAAGAGTTTCCAGTAAGCTTTTATGCAAGGCAACGATTTAATTTTTTTGTAAATAGCCGGTGTGCGTTGTTGAACGAAATTTTAACTAAGGATTCAGAAACATTCTAATAATAAAAGTTGTAAATGAAACGGTAAATCCTTACTTAAACAAAGAGAGTAAATCTAGTGGTACTAGAGACTTTTACAGACTTTCTAGTAAGAGTTAGTTTCCTATTCTTAGTCGCCTTCTCAGTCGCCTACTCAGCAGCAATGAATCTGCGCCAAAAGGCCTGCAAGGGACTCGCGGTGCCTGCTACTCCCCTGGGGGCATTCCTAGTGAAGAGCACCTTCGCGCTCCCTAAACATCGCACAAGGCTATTTAGGCCCTGTACCTCTATACATTTGCCCATGGTGTACCATGGCGCCATCTCCGTGCCTGTGCCATCGTTCACACAGTAGGGATCCAGTTCGTCAATTTAATATACAGATTGCTCACACAGTTGTCTAAAAAGCCAAAATATTACGAAATTATTAGGGAAATGCAGGAGGGATTCAGAACGTCCCGTAAGCCACGGACACGTTTTAAAACATTCATGTCTTACGCGGGTTTCCAAGCCACGTCATTGGTGTCCACTTGTAAGCTCGTCTCTCACCATTGATTACTAGTGATTCCGGGTGCGTCAACCGCTATATATCATTAGGTCCGTAAGTGTATTGCATGGTTTTCGTCGGGAGGTGATGGTTCTCTAACCAGCTGGATGGCGAGATCCGGCGCTGACCTACTGTTAGCTAGCGGGGTTTACCCCAACCACCGGCGCGGCACCTCCCTAGCCGGGACAAGCTCTTGGCTACAACCGGCCTCTCGGCATTTGTACATAGCGCATGTAAGTGTAAGTGTGTGTAAGTTGAGAATGAGGATAGGAAAAGGAAGGGGTAGGAAAGAACGCGCGCGGTCCGTGGCCCGTTTGGAAGGGTATTGCTCCGGCATTCGCTTGGTTTTCATCGGAGAAACCACAGAAAACGATGCCGATGAGAGCAGCCAGCCTCTGGAATTCTCCTCCAGACAACGACAAAACTCCACCTAGTTATCTGGCTAGTGTCCAAAATCCTGCCATCGTTGGGACTCTAACCTTAGGACCTCCTGGTCGGAAGCATTGCAGTGGCATTGGTTGACGTCATGAGTCACCTCTCTGTCGTCAATGAGATCAAATCAGTTGCCCGTGCTCCTTGTAAACGTTTACGGTTAATGAAACTAATATTCTCCGAAGATATAGACATGACGTGAATTAAACAACTAATTGTATAGAAAAAAAGCTCATTTGAGTAAAAAATCTAAATTTTTGATAATGTTGTACAAGGGTGTCAAAAAAAATTTACTTTGTAATTTTCGAAAATTTTGGTCACAGGCCCGCTCTTCAGTGCTGGCCATCTTTCTAAATATATTTCACTTTATTTTAGCAGATATTTAGCTTTATTAAGAGATATTTAAAGAAGAAAGTGATGCCATTTTAGAGAAAATTTGGAAAATGTGCCAGGGTCTTCATGTGAAGGCCTCTTAGAATTCAAAAAACTCGTTTCAAATTCGTAACGCTTTGTCTCGGACTAGATGGACCAGGGAATATTAATTTTGAAAAAAAAAACTATGTATGATATTGGAGCTAGTTTCGTTGACGGGTGGACGTTTAAAACACACTTTTGCTTTGTCAAAGAGCCCCCCGACGTCTAATTCCGTTAAAATCTCAGCATCGATTTTTCTCGGCGTTACATAACTTTCCCTTATACTACACATACTACTCCGTGAATGCGTACGTATACAAGGAAGTAAAAGCGACGTTGATCCCCCCTCCCCATTGATATGAGACTGTTTTTCGTGGTTCTGAAGGCCTAGCAGAGTGTAGTGGTTATCAGATTTAATTTCTTATTCATGAAGTTTCTGTATCTATAATGTCTACGTGTTATGTATAGCCCATTAACTTCCTGTACTCTGTTTTATTTGAACTGAAGATTAAATACAATTCTATGGGCCAACGCTAAATGTACTGATGAATTTTTGCTTTGCGACCACAGATTCAGACGCAACAAAACACTTTTTGGGGAGTACTCAGTGCTAGTAACTAGGGGGGGGGATTTGATGCCTGAAATTGCGTCACGTTTGCCTTAGAATCGTGATTTACAGACGGGAAAAACACGCATTTGTTGCAATGCTAAATTTTCGCCGAAACTGAAAGTCTCGAATTCGTACGCTGAAGCAGATTACAAGTTGTGCTGGATGGAACGGCCGTCGATGGAAGTGCCGGAGAACGGGGATTGGAAAAACTCATTACTGGCCTTCCGAGACCCTATCGATTCCGGAGCCGTCACGTCGCTGCCGGTTTCGATCTTCGATACAATGTACCTGGCGCCTGTAGTGCGCCTTGGCTGTAGGCAAGCGGCGACGACACTGGCATTTCGGATAGAGGCACACAGAGGAATAGAAGAGACATTAACGTTCGACGTGGGAATTGTAGCAAAAAGTATGAGTATGTCGAGGGCAAGGACGTGAACGTACTGTACCTACAATACTACCATTGTAGGTCTGGCAGATAAGAATATTCACGCTGGTACGCGAAAATTCAGCAGTAGCCAAAGTACGGTTGCGATGGTTGGGTGAATATGAGAAGTTACAATTGCCATTTTGAGATGAAGACTAAAAGTATTAGCAGTAGGGAGATCAGTATGAGAAGCTAAGATTATGACGGAAGCGGAAGCGAGACTGAGACGAGAATATGCATGTTGATGCTGGATCATGAGAAAGTGCCAAAGTTGGTAACACTAGAAGACTCCGTCGGGTGAGGCATCGAAGAGTTCTGAAGGCAGTCATTTGTAATTATAATGACTATTTGTGAATAAAATAAAAGATCTTCAGACCGCGCTGACACGTTGATTTCAATTGAAGTAGCAGATGTGATCATAAGAATGTTTGAGTAAGAAAAACGAGGTTTCCCCTCCGACGAATTGCGTGCCAATTCGAGGGCATTTTTAACCGAAGTGAAGCAATGTGGGACCAATACATCGATAAAAATGGCGAGTTTTAAGTATCTGTTAAAAATATCAAGAAAAGGCACAGGGATAGAATTAATAAACGATGTTAACGGTGATGTAAACATTGTATGTAAACATTCATTCTGGGGAAACTGTTAGTGGTAAATGCATTTGCATCCACCTCTCATTACAATTTTGCATGTTCGTATTTATTTACGTTTTCGAATGTCGCAAACGAAATGTTGTCAATAAAGAACGATAATTGATAAGGTTTAGAAAAAAATTATAAAACAGTGATTGTGGGGTACGTGATCACGTGAGGCACAAATCCAATCCTCGTCACAAATCTAATCCTCGTCACTAACACAAGGTGAACCCCCCCCCCCCGGGATGAAATTCGAAACAGTCTAAGACATCGCCTGCCGCCGCAGTACTCTATGCTATTTAAGTTGTTACGAATTCAGCAATATTGAAAGGAAATATTTGCAGTTGTTGACAAGTTGCGGCCTCGAGAACGAGATAAGTTAATTTGACGAAAGCTGCGGTAACTTACTACTCGTCGTGTGGAACTGATAAGAATACATGCTTTAAGGGAGATTTGAACACAATTTTACCCTAGCGCAGTCTGATTTGGTTACCGTTGTAGCAGTCTTCACTGTTTAAGACTTGGTTCAACAGCTAGTAATATAGGTTCTGATGTATTTCCTGTACTTTTCCATTCGATATTAATAGAACACTACCAATAATGTTACTCGAACAGTTAGGAAGCGAAGTTTTCGATAATCTTAACGAGTTGTGACCTGAAGAGTGTAAAAAAACTAATAATAATGACTGCGCCAAAACGTTTGGAATTGATTGCAATATCGGAAGCGGGTTTCGAACCCACTATCCACAAAATCATCGCCACAACAGTCTGAGAGTTAACGTCCGACAAAATATGGTGAAATGAAATGTTGCGGATCTCTACGTATTATGCCCCCAAGAGCGTGACAAACGAGATTCGAACCCTCAACCCTAGCTGAAAACTGTTACCGGAAAAGCCTTGCGCGCTCTTAGTCATCATTCTTCAGCAGTCATATAGAAAGGAAATACTTGAAGTCGTCGACGGATCTGATCCGAAGAACGTGATAAGCTCTATTGACGAATACTCCTGTGACTACGTGTGTCAGGAGGGGAAGGGGGAGGGGGGAGGGAGGGCGGCAGCGGCGAAGGCGTGCCGCCCAGGGCCACCCGAGCGCAGCTGCGGCGCGGCGCGCCGCGTCCTCGCAGGTGGGCGGGTTGGGCGGGCGCGCCCGAGCGCTATCGGGGTTTCGATAAGCGGCGCGGCGCGGGAGGGGAGGAGGGGGCGGCGGCGCTCGCAGATGGCTTTAGGCGGGCGCGTCGGAATCCCGTGCGCTCAGTGCCAATTAGCGGCTGCGACAACCGCGCGCGCGCGTTTCGCGAAAGCCATGCCTCGCCAACGCCATGTCCGCCAGCGAGCCGGTCACCACGTCGAGAGGCGCAACGCCAGGTGAGGCACTCGCTACAATCAATTTGCTGCCCGTCGCGCCGCCCTCCCCCCCCCCAACCCCCCCACGCGCGATCGAAATGGTTGGTAGGCGCGCAATCACTATGATTGCACCGGCCGCCGGCGGAGTTTGTCGCCGAGAGCGCGGTGGTGTGAGAGTTCACGTAAACACTATTGTAATGCATGCGAGAGGAAACTGAAAGTTTTGTTGGATAGGGAAATTTGCGGAAGGAGGTTCTCTCAATTCCATCTGTAGAAAACTTGAGGGTGGCGTTGAAAATTCGTATCGTGACTTAATGTGCAATGTTTAATATCTGAACATGATTAAGATTTACTAATACTCTTGTTTTATGGTTATTTTGTTATTCTTTTGGTGATTTTTTTTTTAATTTGGCATTAAACACATTCTTACAGTTTCTCCGAAACTAGTTTCTTCGTAACATGAGTTATATTTTGTAACAAGTACGAAATTTGTATTTTTTACAAATATTTGCCAGAAAAGAAAGAACTCTGAAGCTGCATAGGACCAAGAGGAGAGAGGGAAAACGCTGGCATATTCATAGATGTACTCGTAAACTTTAACGAAGTACTGCATCCACCATTATTAGTATCCGAATTTATTTTTAATACGTTCTTCAAAATAAAACAATTTTGTATTTAGTGTGTTTAATTCATATTTTAAATATTAACTGAAGCTTCTAAAATTTAATCATTTAACTTTGATTCGGTTTACTATTTTTCAAATTTAACTGAACGTTCAAAATGTGGTATATTATAAAAAGATACATATAAGAACTTTATTATATCAAAGCAAATTTAAAAGAAATGAGATAAAATTGTGTATTGGCACTAGCTTAGTTGTATAATTATTACTGTTTGTAGGTATTTATTACGAAGGAAGAAATAAGTAATATAATTATTAAAATGTATCCACTCCATATAAATCTTGAAGATGAACAATATATCCGGAAAGAATACACTAATCCAGTGCCAGAATCGTATAATTTGTCAGTTAAGTTTGCCATATCCCATGATGCAATGGAAACCCCCATCTAGTTTCATTCTCTTCTACAGGGACTGTTCCTAGCCTATTTAGGCTGTTCTCACCCTGATGAATATGTTCTGGCTCAGTTCATCTTAGATGCAATTCAATTTAAATTACTCTTCAGTTTTAACACAGTTTACGTATTTTTCAAGTGGAAATATAAAATAAATGTTCATTATCGTTGCATGTCCCATTTTCTCGTTTCAAGAGCGTTTCGAGTTCATGCTATGTTTCGTTTCCTCTCATCCTGCAGCGTCTTGGCAGCAGGTTGGCGCGTTCGGATTCAAAGAAAAGGCCCCGTAATGAGCGTAACATACTTTGTCCACATTGGACGCATGTGCACTTTTCTTACGTATGCTAAATTATTATACTGCCTGCTCGTAGGAAAACTTCGATATACAGTTATATTGGCAGCGGGACATGTGATTGTCAAATTAACAAACGAAGAAAGATATCATGTTTTACGAATCATTTATTATATAATTTAAAATTGGAATGTTGCGGATTATTAGTGTATGATCATTGATTTTTTTTAGATATAAACCTGTTTTACGTCTATTTTGACTATTTTGATTCTTTGTTGATGTACGAGTAGTCTAATTACAATTTTTGGACAAAGTCGACCTATTCTTATCTTGAGTACCGTTCTATACTGTGTTACAGTTTTAAAGATTTTTTTTCTTAAATGGGCGATTCTAAAAGTATTTAAGAAGAGGCCAAATTGCATTTTCATCTCCCTCTCATTATAAATTTGCTCAATAAAAATGCAAGTTTTTAGACTGCATATTCTTCTTAAGTGCTCCCGCTAGGGATTACCGGGAACTTAGAAATGTGGTGCAATAAACACACGAAAATGGTTTTGAATAAAATGTGTCAAATTGGATACAATGAAGTCCTGGCTCTTATGCGCTTTTATGGCGTGTCGCTAGTATTTAGCATTGCATACTACATTGCTAAAATGTTTACGCGACTGCTTTTGTGAATTATTTTCACGACTATTTCGGTAAATATTTATTATTTATAATTATTATTTCATTATTTTTAAATAATGTGCATTGATTTATAGAGTATTAAATTACATCAAAAACTTATAGTGGATGTATTTTGTTAGATATATCCTAATATGTACTCCCAAGTTGGTTGGCCACTTAACTTTCAAAACGAGATTTTGAGAATTATTGATCGCTGGCGTGCCAAAATCTTGGTAAAATTTCTCGTATTTAACAAGCTAAATACATAGCTAATACGTACGAGTGAGTGAACAAACTGAGTCACTTCTTTAAACGTATTCGCCCAATTCGAGCAAATCGAATGGGGGAACGGGTTATTCTCTTAACAAACTCCTGATTATAACCTTTTGTATCTTAAACTACAAAGTTTTCGCTAGTTAGGAAAATAATTCTTACATTCAATGAAATTCGAATTACAAAAATTCTACTTTCAGCGAATATTCATTTTTTTTCTTCTGAAACTAACTGGAAAGCATTTTCAGACATTGTTTTGTAACCATATAGGCATCTTGCGTAATGCTGGAATCTAGTGATGGAGATAATGTTGAATTGATATTATGTCCAGCTGTTGATTCGAAGAAACTGTAAACATGTTATATTCTGAAGATAATGTGGAGCAGGTGTATTATCACATTGTGAATCATGCTAGTACATCCGTTTTCCCTTATCTTTAAATTCGAACGGAAATGTCTTATAATTCTCTGCATTTCATCATAAACGAATTGCGAATGTGACGATTTAATGGTTAAAAGCTGGTCCAACAACTACTCTTTTGTGTAAAAACTCTACGAAAAATAAACACGAAAATTTAAATGCATCTGCATACGCTTTACATTGATTTTGGATGCTGTGGCTACTGATATTTTCATTATTAATGTCAATTAATATATTTCCATCAAGCGACGGTTCTTCGCAAAATCTAAGGTACATCCATAAATCCATCTTTGGAGATTTATTAGTAATTTCCAAAGTTGTACTTCACTTCGCAGTACGTTTTGGGGCACTAAAATCATTAAAAATTGCTATGTTACATTTTATCGACACAGCAATGTTTTTGATCGGGAGATCAGAGGCTATAGAAGAAGTTTTGCAAATACAGACATTAGTCGTACTACTGAAGTATTCATGAAATTCCTTCAGTTCTATTGTCAAGTTAAAATCAGGGAATGCAATGTGAATTGGTTGTGTTTGTAGTAGCGCAACCACTCAGTTAACTCAGTCGTGAATCTTATCGTATTCCCATAGTGACAAGAGCATTGGCGCCCATAAATCGCAAGCTCTTGCGTGTTTGTCAGCTGCATATATATATAACGAAACAATGTTCGCCGGTACCTGTTCAGAGCAACACAGTACGTACTTCCTGATGACATTTCCTCGCATGCTTTCCGGTGTTTTTAAACTAGCTATAAAATGGAGATAATGTTTTCATATTCATTGTTAAGGAAGAAAAACGTAATCCTGATAAAATCTACTTCCTTAACCGTGTTGCAATATTAAAATTCCCTTGCATAAAAAAAATAAGGCTCTTCATTTGCAAAGTATGTTGAGAATGCTAACTCGACGTACTGGATAAATGCAGTAAGTAACTGCGAGTAAATTCTTAAAACGCTTCTACCCACGTGATTACTTCTGGTTCATTTCAATCTAATTAAGTCGGATCAGCAGTTAGAAGAGATTTGAGAATGATCGTAACTAAACTAATTGCCAGAGAACTGGCTTAATTTAATAAAAGCAGCCCTTGCTCTCACAGTCTGTTTTAGCGGACAACTTACATAAAAATACTTTCTTCCATTTTAATGAGAATGAGGATTGAATATCTGTTAACACCAATAATATGTTCTTTACCGTCCGGATAGAAGACAGAAGTACGCCAGTTATGAATTAAAGTAGGAAGGTGAATGTGTTGTATTGGCTGGCAGATCCTTAGTTCTCCCTTTTGTTTCTTAGGTTCGGATTCATGTATACCTCCAGTGGACCAGGCTTTGGGACGGGTAACTTCAAAAAATGTAGTTATTTTAGTACAGGTGACTACAAATAATTCTGGTCAAAATGTATTTGGGGTGTAATGTAACAAAATGACAGTGTATCTGCTGCTTATAATACAGAATATTACGAGCTATACCTTCTTCGTTCTTTTAGATAGCTTATTTAGGCAGGGGCCGGTCCCTTTGTATGAAGTAATCTTTAAGATAGTTTAATTAAATTTGTGAACACTGCACTACATAGCGTCAGATGCACCTACGCTTTTGAATATTTTAAGTTTCCGTTATGGTAGGCAGCGTTGATAAATGGTGACATAGGGTACTGGTTGCATCACAACTGCCATTTAATAGAGAGTAAAAAATTCATAGCTGCTGCCATAGCGCCAAGCATGAATTCACTCCTAAATTTTCCAGTACAGGAACGTTCGATTGTGTACAAATTCCGTGGTGGCAACAGAGATCTCATAGTAATGCATAATTTACTAGGATGAACGATGTATCAACCACAATTAGTTTGGGATAATATAAGAACCCCATTTTCTCGTCACAATTCAACAACTTACATGTATGTATTTTTTATTTTGTTTTTGTGTTTTAATTACATATAATGGAGAAAATTTGCTTATTTTGTTAGCGGCACTGATGATAGTGACAAATAAGTTCCCTCGTCTGGCTCATGTTTTTATATTAAATATTAAAACAAACTAATCGTGGTTGATCAATGTTTATCTTCATTAATTGACTGTGTATACCAGCATTACAAGCGACCTTTCCTGTTACAAGAAATCGTTCATAAGGGTATTTTACGGCGAAATATTGACGTATTAGTATTTTACGGCACGAATGATTGCGTCATCATACATCCAGCCGATCACAGCGAGGGAATCATTGGGAGGTATCGGTAAACGGAACAAACGACCACAGTTTACTCGCACACAAGAAAGCCGTGTAAGAGAATCAAACAATTTTGCGAAACATTTATAATTCTGTTATACACAGAAATTACGCATGCAACTTGTTTATAATGTTGCTTTATTGTAATCGCACAAATTAGAAAACTCGCTCCTAACATCCTAGTTTTCAAAACATGTACTCTTGCAATAAAGCGTAACATTATAAACTAATTGTTTAAACTACTATTGTATTACCGGAGCAGTAATATCGTAACGGCGCGGCTTTCCAGTCTCGGTTTAATATCCGAGCATATTTTCTTGAGTCTTCACTTCGCTACTTACCGAATGAGGGGGAGTTAAGTTATTTTCACAAAAGTAATTTTATATCAAACTGATTCGTTCGTTTTTCCATACAAAATAATTTCTAGCACGCGGAAAAGAACATTTCAGGTTATCAAATTGTCTACAACGTTCGTTGCTATTATTTTTAATTCAACTAATGTTGGCAAAGGAGTGGGGGTGGATATTCCGGGGCTCAAGAAAACGTGCGCGTACAATACTCGTGGTTCACGACGTCCTAAATCCGGGCCTTGTGTTCCAACTTGTGCAGTGGGGCAGAGAAGGGCGAGGCGTCGGAGCGCGGGCCCGAGGAGAGAATTGAATTGAATTGAATTGAATTGAATTGAATTGAATTTTACGTAGCGAGACTCGGGCCATCAGGCCCGCTCTTCCGTCTGACCACGCAAATTTCGCTACGCTCCTTTCACAAAGTAGCAGAGAAAGGAGGTATCTCTTGGGCGAGAAACAGGCGATTTTGAATTTAGCTCAGAGGCGTCTTTTAGGCTTGAGGATCTTTTACATGAAAGTAAATCTACTAACATGGGGCAGCCGGATTTACTTCCTCTCCGAAGGAAAGCGTGCGAAGGATTTTTTCGCCCTTAAAAATCCACGGCCTCGATCGGGTTTGAACCAGTCCAATACGCTAACCGTTACACCATCGCCGCCGCAAGAGAGTTGTGCTGCGCGCATCCTGCCGTGCGCTCGTCGCCGCGTGCTCCTCCTTCGCTCCTCCTTTTCGTGCGGCGGCGGCGGCGCCCAAGAGCACTCGCGCGCAGGTGGGCGCGAGGTCAAGGCTGCGGCGTGCGCGCGGCCAGGCGAGGCCCAGCCCGGCCGTTGACCTGCGGTCTCCGCACGCGCGGAGGCGGCCACGGCAGGCGGCTGCCGGAGGAGGATGCTAGCGGCCGGCCGCTATGATCGGTAGTTTCCCGGCGTTTCTCCGATCGACACTCGGCGAATGCCGGAGTAGTACCCTAACAAAAGAGCCACGGACCACGTGCCATCTTTCCTTCCCATTCCTTATTCCTCTTCCCTTACAGACTCTCTGATATTCACTTCACTATCTCACTTGTCGGGAGACTAGAGTTTGTCCCAGCTGAGGCGGTACCTCGCTGATGTGAGAAGCCTACGCAACCAGGAGATACTTATTTTGGGGAAAACCCGCAAGTTGACTGTTAGATCTCGCCAGATCCAGCGATGCAAGTTTACTGCCACCGCCCGCGGTAGAAAAAAATGCACTACACTTACGGGGTCAAATGTCCTTAACAGGTGATGTGCCCGGAATCCTAATTAATCATTCAGGAAAGCGGGTGGGTGGCGGTAAAGGAGGGCAGGTGGGCGGCGGCCCTTGGAGCGACGCTTGTCACTGTACTGGGTTTTATCCTCTGCCGGTTATTGGTTGGCCGTCCATTTGTCCTATCTCGACCGACAAAGTACGCGGAAATGTTTCCGGTTAAATGTTACGTGATGTATCGCAATGACTGCTTCGCAATGGAATTTAACCAGCTATGAATTTTGATTCAAGCTGACATGAATAAAAATACTTATAACTTTTAAAAAAAATACAAAATAAATGTATCCGGTGTAAAATAAATACCCCCGCGTGTATACCAAACAAATACAAAAACATTGCAATAAAAGTCACTCCCAAAATGGATTCAGAGATTACAACCTGTTTTATTGCACCCTTTGATTCTGCCCCAGCACGTCATTTCATTGTCAAAATCTCAACTTATCCTTCCTCATAAATTCGCTCACGTAATACTGAAGATTTGCTACACCTTTCCTTCATGAGCCTCGCTTACTCTATTCTTAACATCAGTTTTGTTTAGTATAAGCCATGCGTTTCTACTTTTATTTGAGTGTTCTTTATTCCACGTGAAATTCCGGGATCCTCAAAACGAAACCAAATGGTTACAAAATCTATGATAACATCAAAATTTGATTGTAAAATAGAATATATCAGTAAATGCTTTGTTCAGAATCCTGAAAGTCAAATACGACGAACAAGGATATAAAATATTAATGAACCGCGAATAGACCTACAGATATTCATAATATATACAAAAACCTCGGTAACCGAACACTCGAAGAGATTATGTTGATTTAATTGTGGATACTCTAACAACACTTGTTCTACCGAAATGACAAACATGATCTGAGCAAAGGATTTCCTGAGTGGCAATTTCCTGTTAGGCATCAATTTTAAAGTTATCCGTGAGAGTCTTAATAGAGAAAAATATCATGCTTTTTTTAGTATAACTTGGAATAGCTAATGATAATACTTTGTTTATCTGAATGCGAAATATCCAGGTACAGTGTTAGATTCTCAGGAACATTCTACATTCTCTTTGCATTAAAAGCTGCGAATTGACATGGGTATTCTAAACTACTCTAGACTTGCATTGAAAATGCGGGTGTTATGCACGTCAGAGGTGCTAATACCAACAAAAGCTGATAACAGATCGAAGATAGTCATATTAATGCTTCATAAGTCTGCTTTTGATTAGACAGGGTGATAGTGACGTTAGAATGCATACTGACTGAGATATGAGTTATTAAACGCGATTGCTACTAACCCACATTTAATCAGAAAAGGTATTTATTGATGTCAAATCATCGCTGTTTACCAAAATGGCAATGTGAAATATCTAAAAAGAGAATCTGACGTATCTACGGAGAGCGAAAATGTCTGAAACTAGAAACGTGAAATTGGGAAGTGTGTTTCCTATAACGGTGTATGTAACGACTAAGAAATTATTTTTCAAAATGTATGCGATGAAGTAGTGAAACAGGGTGTGAATGGATAACAACGTACTTTCTGCATTGATTATGCGACCCACAATAGATATATAGCCCGTTAAGGAGGAGGTGGGAAGGAAACGGCAGGTGTGCATGGGGTGAAGGAAGTGTCGATGACATTCCTTTCATTCTACTCCTACTCTATCGTCTTGAACTGTGTAGTATCCAAAATACCGCGAATTAAGTTTCATTTGAATCTTCGGAACTTCGCGATAGTTTCTACAACTGTCAAGAAGTTTTTAGAATAGTAAACATATAATAAAATTGTAAAGTCGTCAATTGAATGAGCATATTTTTTTGCTACGGCGCTGTAGCCTTTTGTTGTGCACTATGTTGTGTAAAATGGAAGATTTCATGTCATCGAATCAAAGCGATGAAGCAGAACACAACCATTGCTTTCGACCTGCTTTCCTACTCTTTCTATCTTCACATCCAATTATTTCGTCCCCCAATTACAGATCATACTCCCGTTCTTGTATGCTTCCCATAACATGTGCAATTTGTGTTTGTACACTACGATGTTTGGGTACGCCAATAGCACCTGCTTCTGGCGCAGGAGCGAAACATTTTCGGGCAGCAGAGCAGAAACGCCGGAGCTCCACCAGAGAGATGACTTGCGTCTTGGTCCCTTATCTCTTAATTTGGCCGGTCATTTCAAGCTCATCATATTCATCTCTCTCCCATGGATAAGCTAAAGGGAACTTAATAAAATTTAATCCAATGAAATTTGATGGATTACTGCATTTTTTTCGTGTGGGCGATGTCGATTTAAAATGAGAGAAATAGTACACAGTACTATAGAAAAAGAGACAGTAAGAATGCGAAGTCTCAACCCACGCTTATTGAAGCTGTGGCCCACAAATAGAATACCAATCACTTTGACTATTGTGCGTGGGTTGTTATCGCTATTATTCGACTCAAAGTAATTTTACTGAAGTGCACTTAACTGAAGGTGCACTTCATTCAAGTATGTTATGAAAGGAGGCCCAATAGTAATCTACAAGAGCAATCTCTAAATATATGAATAATAAAGGAAAGAATAATATAGAAAGAAGGTACTTATAGTACATTCTTTAAAGGCGCAAAATATTGTAAATAACAACAAATGTAAGTTATTGCATGATGTGATCGCTTCATCTTTCTCATTGACGATTGCGAACGAAGAGCGAATCACTTGGGCGTACAGAAATCGAACAGTTACACACAGAAATTTCAGAGGAATTGTTTTTACTTACAACTAATCGATTTCGTCGTTATAGATTCTCATTGAGGAAATGATGTGCAAACTCTCAGGAGTCCGAAGTGAGATTTGCCTTTATTTTCGCATTTTGTTGGTTGAACTGATCAATCTAATAAACTTCGTGTTTCCTCTGTTATTATTAATGCATAGTCGTGACTAAATGCTCATATTTACCGTTTCAATGTTTAACGAGCGGATTGGAACTTCAATTCGACCGAGAGAGAGGTTAAATGGGCAAGTGAGTGCTGTCGATTGTACGTGGTCCCTCGGCTGGCGAGAGCGCGCGCTCCTGCGCGTGGGGCGTCGGCGCACGGAGTCGCCCACCTGGTGGGTGGCGCCACCGCCTCGCCTCGCCCAGGTGGAGCGCCTCCCGCCCTTCGGCGAGCGACCGGCCGGGCGCCGCGCCGCGCCGGCACCTCATCACCTAATTGCCCGGTGGGCCGAGCTCTAATTGAGGCGTCTGTTTGCAGGCGCGGCGGGTGCGGCGTAGGCGGCGGCGGAGGCGGCGGTGGTGTCATGGCTGCGCCGACGGCGGAGGCGGCGGCGGCGGCGGTGGCGGCGGAGGCGCCCAAGGCGGCGACGGCGACGGCGGTGACGTCGGAGTGGTCGACGACGCAGGTCCGGTCGGCTGACGACGAGAGGCGGATCAAGTACCCGGGGTTCGAACCAGGCACCCCGGCGGGCGCCGCGGCGGCCGATTTCGTCCGGAGGGCGTCCACCAGCCCGGACCCCAACTTCCGGCCGGCCATCAAGTGGCCGGACCTAGGCGTGCAGGTGTTCCTGCACGTTTCCGCCCTCTACGGCCTCCTGCTGGCGCTCACCACCGCCAAGCTGGTCACCGTTGTGTGGGGTGAGTGTTTTCTTTTTTTTTTAATGTTTATTTTGCGTAATGGACATTACTGCACAGCGCTTGGGCGACAACTGTCCCCAAACTTATAAGTCCAGTTCAGTTTTATATTTGGGCGGAGGCTTCTAATCGCATCTTACCTGCAGTGACAGTTCAGCACCAGCCTTGTTGCCTAGGAGGTCCTAGAGTTTGAGTGCCGACCGTGATGAATTTTCGTCGTTACCTACTCAACTGAGCAAAATTCAAATTTTCGTCGTTACCTACTCAATTCTGCAAAGATATAGCCTGGAGGATAATTCTCCTTGGGTCAGCTGCTCGATTCATAGTTTCCGGGCTTTCACCATTACCAGGTGAATGCCGCCACAGCAAATTTACAAATTGGTCACGGACTGTGCACCATCTTTTCCATCGTGTCCCCTCTCCCCTTACGTGCTCTTGCACGTGTGTTGCGCACTTGTGCGTTTCACTCGCACGTTCTCTGTTTTGTTAGTTTTCTCGTGCTCTTTCTTTCGATCGCCCTCTCTTTCACATAGAGGTAATGTATGGAAATGCAAGGACGACTATTAAATGTGAAGTAACAAGCAAAAGTTCTCAACACTCAGGGTGGGACTCAATCCCACGAGCTTAAGAATAATGTGAGAAGGTCCTCGGGCATTAACTGGAGGTCTTAGCTACGCGGGTCAGTGTTGATGTATTTAAATGTTATGCATTTAGTAAGTAAAGTATTATATTTAAGTAAGTAAAGTAAATATTAATTATTATATTTGAAACAGTAAGAGCGGTAACTTCTCAGAACGTGAACGTGCCCTTATAATACCGTCGTCTTGGACTTGATTGAAATACTCCTTTTATTCTGTAGAATCAAATCATATTCAGAGTGTAAAATTACAAAAACGTTGGATTGGATGATGTACGAAGCTATACTCCTGTAGATTCGCCACTGTTGAATTCTTATAAGCCATTACAAAGCTGAAAGTAAGGTGCGTATCGCGTCAGAGTTTGTCAGTTCCGTACGGTTCGTTAGCAGAGTGGGTTCAATGTGTGAGAATTGGCACCACGGTCTCACAAGGGGAGCTTATTGACTTCACAAACACAGAAGACTTTGAAGTTCTAGAGACAGTTATCCAATCTCTGGATATAAAAATCATAATATGATAATTAAACGAAAATCTGGATTCAAAACACAAGATAGGTTTCGCCGTCACTTTTCAATTCGATAAATCTCGATAGCCTTTTCAATGCCAAAGAAGGAAATCGTATTGGAGTCACCGAAATCAATTTCAAAATACTGCTGATTCCAATACGTATTGTAATATTAATTAAACTACTAATACTAACAATACGAAAGTTTGCTTCACAATGCTTGGATACAAGGATTATAATTTCTGATAACATACTTTTGAATTCTTCTTAACCAACTAGTTTTTTCATCTTTGGAATGTTACCTGGGTCCGACCCCTTCAAAATGACCCCGTAAACATTTTGCCACAATAATATAGTATTAATTAACGCAAAGTAGATAATTTACGTTCACTAAGAAAAATCCTTTACTATTGTTCTCTTCCGCGGTTGGCAGTGAGCTTCACCTCAGAGCTGGAAGAAAAATTGAGGGCTTTTAAGAGCTGTCGATCTCGGGAAGAGCTTCTCAACAGTTTCAATACCCAAAAAATCAATGGTCGAGGAGTGCCGTGTAACGTTCACATCGAGCTGCGGATATACGGGGCTGGAAGAAGGGTGTGAGATGCTAGAGAGCGATTTTTCAGAAAAAGAACGATAATCAAAACGTCAATATTCGTTCTCGTAGCATCAGAGAATAGTTTTATTTCATTAGACGAGCCATCTATTTCGACTGATGACCGCAATGGTTTTCTTTAAATAAGCATTTGTATGTTAGTACAGCACTAAGTATTGACTTTAGTTTTCATCAACTGTGTGTAATGTCAGACGAGAACACCACTTCCAAATTTCCAAATCGAAAGGGCAATACAATAATAAGGAACTGATAGCCAATAAGAGGCAGAATTTTTTCCCCATTAAATAACTTGACGTATTTTCTCTCGGAAATATATTTTCACCGAATTATTTAATGACGCAGAAATCCTTAATATTTCACCTTAGACAATTAGTGAAATCGCTTCGAAGCCAGCATGAAATGTTTTGGAAAAAGCCATTAAAGGAAATCGTCGCTTTAAAGAGGTTTGCTCTTCTTTCTTAACCCGGCGTTGGGAACGTGAAAATCCTGACGTCATTGGGAAAGTTGGGTCTCCTAGACCCACTTGTTATTAGAGCCTATTTAATATAATAATTAATTACATAAATACTTTATTATAAAGTTCAAGATGCAAATAATTCGTAGATCCAATATTAAGCACAAAATATTTACCAATTTTTTAAACTTCTCTGACTATTGACAAAAAAAACAAAATTGAAAATGAACGAAGATCAAAGCAAAGAAATTGTAGCATTAAGTTAATAAATGCAATATTAGCAAAATATGTCTGAATGACTAAAACAAAAACAATGGAAGCATTTTTTACTGTAATGTTTTATGTAATGTGTTATATCTTTTATGGAAGCATGTTTTACGATGATATTTTCGACCTTTTTGTTTTCTTAACCTTTCCGAGAAAGTGTTTTGTGACCTACCAAAATTAAAAATAATTTGCATTTCTTAACCCCAAAAATATCAACTTTATTTATATAAATTAGACTGCAAATAAAAAACAAATAAATAAATTACAAATAATTCAGGTTTAATTTCTAGATTCTCAGGTGTAGCTTCAATTTCTTGTTCAGAATCTGTACAGTGCGAACATTTTAGTTCAAATAATATATCAGCAACTTCATCAGCACTTGCTAAAATACCATTTTTTCTAAAAGCTAATTTATTATTTCTATCATTAGGATTTAATGCGTTAAAATAGCTTGTGGATAAGCCGGACGTGTTCTAAAAAGTCACGTAAACGGGAACGTTGGGTCTGATGGACCCATCAACTACTGTAAGTGAGAACCACGTTTTTCTGATAAACTCAAACCAATGGTCGTCTTATGTTCAAGAACATTTAATTTGAAGGTAGAGTGGTGAATAAGCTAAGAAATAATTTCGTTCACGGCGTCAAAGATGTCGCTGGATCTGACCGACCCAACGTTTCCACTGCCGGGTTAAACATTCTTTTAAACTCCACCCTTCTTTTAATTAAAAAACTAAGAAGGTGATTGAGAAAGGAAAAAAAAAGGTTTTAGTAAAATTTCGTCAAAATGTAACCTTAGGACCTAATCTGATACATTAGGATTCACTATTGAGCCCACGCAATGAAAACTATTTCTTCAATCTTTGGAAGGATTATCGTTAGAAAATATGATGATCGTCTTTTAATAATGCGTGGAAAGTATGTAACTTATCGACTGAACTTGATGACTGTTCCTACTCTCAGACTTCATTTAGCAGTTTCTATTTATAGCGAACGTGTTTTCCTCCCAAAAGAAATGACAAATAAAATTAAACCTTCATATATATATTCAGCGGCTGTAATAAAAAGGTTCTTTCCAGTGGTAATATGAACAATGTATGTGTAAGTGTATTGTTCACAATCAGAGACTTGGCATGTCAATACTATACAGGGAGGAAATTAATATTTAAAAATGTCTGACTTATGAACCTAGAACTACAAATCGTAATTATATCGTAAGGGTGGAAATGAGGTCTTTCAAATGTTTGGCGCAAACGCAAACTGGTCAAAGAAGGCGAAAAGACGTTTACTTGTGCGCTAGCAGCCAGAATGAATGTATGACAGTACTCTCTCCTTCAGACTGTTGTATGTCGCTGAAAATAATTAATCTTTTAAACGAAATCACAAAACCCGCCCCGAGATTCCAATGTTAGTCTGACCGTAATGTATTGTCAAAGTTTATTTTATCAGCGATCTGCCGCCAGCTACCAACCATAGGTCGCTAAAGAGATTTTTAAGGAATGGTCATTGGCGCGATGCGGAGGGTTTACTTAAATATCAATGCTCTGGCCATTAAATACACTTCCACGCTTTCGTTTAGGCAGAAATCGGAGTAATTCCTCCGGTTCAAAATTCTCTCTCCACCACCCTCTCCAAAATTCTCTCTCCACCTTTAAAATTCTCTCACCACCAACTCAACCTAATTGTCGAAAAAATCATTGTATTGTCTTAAATTGAATAAATTCGAGACGACGTGAAAGCTGAAAGTGGGCGCCACAGGTTGTTTGTTAAGCTTTGCACGATTTGACGTGTTGGGCCCTCAGGCTGAATATGCCCTCAAGTATTCATAATTTAAGTTTAGGCGACAATTTTATTTTTCAAAACTCTACCATACACTCACCAAAATAGATTGTTTTTCAACTTTATCGTTAACCATGTTTAACGTAATTATTATACCAAATAATTAATTGCCTGCAGAACCAAAAATGCAGCTGAACAAAACCATAGAAAATGTTTTACTAAAAAGTAGCTCGCACACTGCCCAACAATAACAATTACTCCTATCTGAATTACTCTTCATCACTAGTCTCAACTAAATACTCGTATAACTCATCAGATTCAATATATTAACAAAGACGGCCTTCACAAATACTGCTATTACGTAGTACAGTATAAATGGATACAAAGTACAGCATTTCTTCACGAAACAAACTTTTAAAAAAAAGTTGCTGTTCCATAACGCAACACGTGAATAGCACATATTCATTGGCTTGCAGCCTCTTCTTATATCCTTGCTGTCGCATGATGTAAACTATGTCGTAAGGAGTGACTCATTAGGTACAAGAATTCAGTCGGTACGCGCAGTACGAGAATATCGAGAATAACACAATCATGTATTTCTATTTGTCACTCAACAGCGAAACTCTTTCATAGTTTTTGGATTTTTCCCGAGTTCTTGGGGTATTAAATAAAACCTCTGAGAAGGTTGGAAGCTACGTATTTTCTTGAATTTCCGAGCTCATAGACAATTAGTAATTTAGGTATTTGATGCAT